TTATCATAAATATAAATCTAAAAACGAAGGACTAAAGTGGGTTTTCTATATAGTATGTAGTAAGGGGACATGGATTAGTAAATTCATTTTAAGGGATAACTAGATTTTTGATCAGCGCTTAAAAAGCGCATGTTTGTTTTATCTACAAATAGATCGATAAGTCTTTTGCTTTGATGATATAAAATGTCACTATCTAATATAACTTTTTAAAATTAATGCAGATTTTAATTTATTATTATCATCAATATCTATTTAAATGTATTGTATGTAATTGTGTAGTCTTACTATGGAAAAATAATATCAATTAACTACGTTTGGTGCTGAGAAGCTGGTCAAACTCGCTTTGCCTGACCCATCTGATCCGCAAAGAAAATATATTTTGTCTGCATCCGTCCCACTTAATTTTACCTGTAATCCACGGAACCCGCAAATAATTATTAAATAATAAAAATAATTATTTATTATTATTTAATAGTATATTTTTAATAATTTTTAAAAAATTAAATTATAATAATTATCTTAAGAAAATATAGTATATTTTTGAAAAATAATTTTTTTTTAAAAAAAATTGTTTTTCTATTTTTGCGGATTACCGGGTACCCGCAATTGAAATTAGAACAATCTGCACCCGTTCCGTGTAAAATATACTTGACTTGAACCCGTAACTTAATTTTTTCAAATCGATCGACCCATTCCGTGGCGGGTCAAACATGATGAGACTCGCGGGCTAATATCAAAATTCTCAGCTCTAACTATGTCAATAAAGGTTGATGTGTTTATTTTAAAGAAATTTGAGAAATAAATAAAATTGTCATTAATGAAAAGTTAAATTTATTGATAAGATTAAGGGTAAATTTAGAAAAAAATAAATCATTAATTAAAGAGAATGTTTCTGTTTTAATGATATTAATATTTAATTTTTTGTCTTTTATTAGCAAATTTATCTTTTCCTTTTTTTTAATGGGCTTGGAAAAAAAAAAACCACATCTTCCTAAAAGGCTGAAACGTAATTCATGTAACGGCGCCTCTTTTTTTTTTTTTTTTTTGTCAACTAACGGCGCCTCTTCTTCCTATTAATTTATGAAAAAATTACATTGAGAGGTAGTTTTAAGTTATTTATTACATTAAAAGGCAGTTAGTGCTACTGAGGTACTTTCCTCTAACTTTCTCGATTTTTTTACTTCCTAAGACACTTTTCATCTTATATATTACACAAAGAGACACATCATGCTGGTAAGGCACTTTATGACTGATTATTGTCTATCATACCCTTATTCTTGACCAGACCCAAGTAACCTAACTAGGGAAAGCTAACCATGATTCCTTTTTTTAATGGTTATCAACATATCATGAGTTCACAATTCATTTTTCTGTCGAAAATAAAAAAAAACAAACCCAATCCACTTTCACTTTCCTAAATTCTCAACCCTAATTTATTTTTTTATCTTTCTCTTTCTTGTTACGACTGCACAGAAGAAGTTCAAAAATAAGAAAAAATCCAAGGTGACACAGATTTCAGACTCACGGTGAAGCTGCGGTAGTTGAATTCTGAACTCAACATCGTCATGGATGAGCTCACCATGCTCAGATGCGGTGGTTCGAGCTCCTCGTCATGCTCAGATGCGGTGGTTTGAGCTCCCTTCACCACAAGATCTGTTGTCCAAATCGGCTCCTCGCTGTCCTCACTCATCTCTGTGAAGTCTATTCCATCATCTCGCTGAAGCTGTGGTGGTTCGATCTTGGAGTCGCCATTGAAGAAAGCTCGATTGCATTTGCAATCAAGAATCATGCATTTGCATATTTGGTCCTTGTATTGTAAGTTTTTGAGTTTGCTCCCAAATTTTCCAAATGTTCAGATTTGTTTTTTGAATTAGTCCCAAAATTTAGAATTATACACTATAGTCCTACTTTATGTTCTTTACATATAAAAAAAAATCAAAATCAATGTATTTGTTGTCCATACGTTTTATGTATTGTATGTTCTTTAAATTTTAATATTAAAGATCTGCCCTTTAATTAGTTAAATAATTTATGAAGTTTTGAATAAAAATGTTATGTACAATATAGATCAAATTTATAATATAAATATATGTATAAAAATGTTTTATTTTAATATATTATACTTTAATATATTATTAACTAGAATTTATTGGTCTTATATTTTTGTGGACATTGAAAATGTGGATAAAAGTTACATTGGTCAAAAGTATGTGGATGAAAGAATTGTGTACATGTGAATTGTATTAAACTTTATATTTTTTAACGTCCACACATGTATACACATAATAGCCATCCCACTAACATCTATCAACATAATCACACATAAATGTTCATGCTTTGTTTCTCTCCTACATTTTCCATCCATGTCCACATTTTCTACGTCCACATTTTATCGTCTATGTCCACATATTTTATATAAATATTAAAAAAAAATATTGAAAGTGGACGTTGAAATATAAAGAATATTTTTTTTAGTGTAATAAATAAGTCATTTTTGTCTATTAACCCACAAATTTAAACACTTTAAAGGATTGATAAAAGAAATATGTATCAAAAGAAAATCACTTCAATTCCTTTTACAATGACACATGAACACTTCTCCTTTTTAATAAGAGTATAATTTATCCAGATAATATGTCGGTCTTATCAAAATATGCTTCACATGTGGATACTGACAACATTTTAATATAAAAAAAACTAACTAGACTCTTGTTTTTCTTAACTAAACAAAAGGGGTATGTGTGTAAAATTACATAAGGTGGAAGAGGAGAATGTGTATCTCCAGCGGGAAGTGTCCTATCATGTCAAAAAAAAGAAAAAAGTGTCTCATTCGGTAATCAACTCAACTTTCTCACATGTCGTTCACTTTTCCAAATTAAAACGTAACTATATTGTAAATAGTAGGACCTACTTTTATCTCTCCCTCTTATCTTCTTCATCTATTTTTGTGTTTATCTTATTTGTTTGTTTCTGTAACTTTCTTATATTTTTCTTTTTAAATTTTTGACTTCCATTCTCTTTTTCAAAAGATTATCTTTGCAAAAAAAATATTGAACCACGAATTAAGCTCATAGTGACCGATTTACTGTCATGGACAATATATAACATAATTGATGTAAGTCGACAAGTTCTCCACCGCAATTTACGACGACCTCCACTACTGTCTCTTTTATTTTATACAGATCTTCTCTTATGCAGTATCTCAAGTTTGATTGGGAAGCTTCAACGTCATGCCAATAACTTCTCTTCCATGGCGTCCCAAGAAGTTTTCATGGTGATCTTAGCCTCTTTCCATGTCTTCGTTGGACCATAAAGGAAAGCCACCGCTGCATCTGGAATTAAATCACCATTGTTGAACCTTGAAATTAAGTTCTCTTAGTTTTTATATGTGGTCCTTGTAATTTTAATTATTTTAATTATTGCCCTAAAACTTTTAGATTTGCAAATAAATCCTCTTCACTTAACCTAATACTTCTAAATTTTCATTTTAGACTCTAACAAACAAACAAATATACCAAATTAGCAACTATACTAAAAATCATTAAAATTATTAAATATCATAATTCGAGCAGTATACAAATAAATTGATGTACATGTAATTTTTCGTATAATATTGTACACGTGGACAATAAAATATATGTGTACATATTGACGATATTTGACACACTAAGTACTTTTCAAGTAAGTAAAATTCAATCTAACCGTCAGTCGATCTGTATGTACACATGTACATGTTTATATTTGCATTTTGAGTAAGCAACATGCAACGCATCTATATGTGTATAATGACACCATATATTTTCAATCACATTCTATGTACACATGCTCATAAGATGATGTGTACAAAACCACATTGTACAGAAAAAACAATCTTTCGATATGTACACATATATTAAGATACATTTTAGATGTTCAACATGTTGTACAGTTGTGTACATTCATTAGTGTACATGTGTACATTAAAGGTTGGTGGCGTACATGTGCAATTTGCAAAGTTAAAAACTGAATAGAAAAATTTTAGAAGTTCAAGGATCCGTTTGTGTAATCATGAAAGGTCTAGTCTATACAATTAATTTTTTTTGGGACATCAGTGAATATACTCAAAAATTGAGAGACCAGATGTGAAATAAAGCCAGAAGTAGCCATTGTTGCTCATCAAGCTTTCACAACAAAGGAGAACCACGCCAGAGAAGCTCAAACCGGTGACGACTTTCTTTGCAGCTCTAAGAAAGTGGCTGATGGTGATGAATCGCGGTGGATATGAAGAGATCATGGCTTGGTTTCATGGTGATGATAGAGGCTCAAAGGTCACGGCTTCTGGGGATGATGGAGAAGCGCAACACAGGTTTCAAAGAACAACGAAAAATAATTTTACGGTTTATTAGCCTCTTCATTTTTATTCTCTTTTGCCATTAAACCTATTTTTCCAGATTTTATATTTCATTAAAACTATTTCTATTACAGAGAAAGAGAATAAATAAAATTAAATAGTGTGGGTCCTATTTAGTTTCAAGAATAAATATAGTTAGTTTATAGTTACAATTTTGTGTTGTTCCACAGAAAGTACCTCAGTAGTACAAACTGCCTTTTAGTGTAATAAATAACTTGAAACTGCCTTTCAATGTAAATCACTCTTAATTTATACAAAGGTTTGCTGCTTGGATTTTAACATATGGGTCGTCTGGGTTCGAATCGAAAGATTATGGTTGTAGAGGGTGGTGAGTTGCATTATGGTTGTAGAGATTCAGTCAGCAGTTTGCCAGATGAGATTCTTGGAAAGATCCTGTCTTTGCTTCCAACAAAGCTTGCTGCCTCCACATCCATTCTGTCCAAGAGGTGGATGAATCTGCTCCCTCTTGTAGACACCCTGGACTTTGATGACTCCATCTTTCTCTATCCCGACAGAGACAGAGAAGAAGAACAAAGACGATGCTTCTCTGATTTCGTGGACAAAACATTTGATCTGTTACCCACGTGTCCCATCAAGAGTTTATCTTTGAATGGCCGCTGCTATAAAAAGTCTCGTGTTGATGGTTGGATCGGCACTGCGTTGCAACGCAGCTTATCCGAACTACACTTGCGTTGTCCTCATCGGATTGATAGAATACAGAGTTTTTGTTCCAAAGCAAGACATTGACTAAGCTCTCGCTATCCAATGGATGTGTTGTAGAATTTGTTCCTGAGAGGACTAAGAAGTTAACTAAGGATGGTGCTGTGATTTTTCCGGCACTCAAATAGCTTTTTATCGGCGACATCGTGATTGGTAGCACCAATTATATTAAACTCATCATTATGTGCCCTGTGCTCGAAGAATTCTTCATACATAACGACGGAGATAACCCGCCAAGTTGGATTCGAGTTTTGGACAGTTTTTGCTTGAAGCGACTTGTGATTTACTTCCATGTTCCTAAATATAGAAAGGTATATGAAGGTGAGGTTGCGGTCATTGCAACTACTCTTACTTACTTTGAATATTCTGGTTATGTCTCCGGTTATTATACTTTGTCGAAAATGCCGTCGCTTGTGGAAGTTAAACTAGATCTTCGACTGTGGGCGTCAACCATCCGTTATGATGATGATTATGAGGATGGAAACCGTTCAGCCAATGGTTTTTCTGTTATCTTTGGTAATACGACCCGTCTCCTTGATGCTATAAGCCGCAACGTTAAGACCCTTCACTTGTCTCCTCATTCTCTTGAGGTTAGTTTCTCTCTACATCCTCCCTCTTCCATTAGTTGTTTTGCTCATCATGGTTTTGTTAAAAATATGTCTTAGGCTATTCTTTTCTGTTGTGAGTACATCCGTGTTTTCGAAAACCTCCTTACTTTATCATTCGAAAGTGACAAGGATAAAGGCTGGCATGTAGTTCCTCGTCTGCTCCAGAGGGCCCCTAATCTACAAACTTTAGTCATTAAGGTATCATCAATTTCCCTTTTTAGAATTATTTTCTTGTGCTGCCGCCACTACACATATGGAATTGATTTTTATATGTTTTCAGGGTCTCATTCATCGAGTTACAGGTAGATGTGGAGACGTGTGCCCATGCCTCCATTCAAAAAAGCATAATAATGAGGTGAAGGAGGGTGTATCTAAAAAGTCTTGTTTGGGTGCTAGAGATCTCTGGATATGGAGGAACTCGTAGAGAGATTGAACAAATGAGGCATTTCCTTGGGAATTTGAAATGTCTTGAACTTGTGAAAATTGGTGTTGTTCAGCATGAGGCAGACAATAAGTACTTGAGAAGGAACCTAATAATGTCTCTTCCCAGACTTTCGTCCAGGTGCCACATCCAGTTCATCTGAAAAAAACTTGAGAATCATCTCTACTCTGTTTGTTGTTATTTAATCACTTTAGTAGATGTTTCGCTAATGGTTTGAACAGTGAACGGTATTTAAGTTTCCAATAATCTGGTATTTATTTTGATTTTCTCTTCTCCATTAATGTGCTTAATTAATGATTTTGTTTACCAAGAGGTTTTTATGGTACTGCATTTTATTTGAGTATGTGAAAGTTTGCCATATTCTTGGTAAGATGTTTCTTTTTGGGTGCAGGTGGTTACCAACAAAGGGTCAAAAACAAATGGAAACCATTCTTTCCACAGCTTTTTTGGATTATTTGTGCAATAACCAAAAAAAAGAGTAATTAGATTTTTAGTGAAAACTTATAGAGATAGGAAGGTAAATGAGCAGAGACAGGATAGGATATTTTTGGTTAGAGTGGATTTCTGTTTTTTTTTTTTTTTTTTAACGTGTATAGCGTGCAATTTCCTCTTTCTTGCAGCCACTTTAGTTTATCAATCCCTTATATATTATTTGAGAATCATTTGAAAAATTGTAACCTTAAGTTTGTAAAAATTAAAAATAACCTCAATCTTATGTGGCATAGCTATTTGGCTTCTATTTCAAATCGCAAGGATTCCAGAGCATGTGATATAATGTATAGTCTAAAAATTATATTCTCTAGCAACATAATATTTCGTAGACTATAATTGGTCGCATATATCAAATATTTATTGTTTCGCATGTTTTTCTTAAATAAAACATACGGAATTACCTAATGTAATTAAAATATATATGACAATTAATGATTTTAAACAATAAAGATTTGATAACAATCTGTATATTTTTTATCATTCTGTTTATTTATTTATTATTAGAATAAATTACACAGTTACATTAATCATATAATAAAAATCTAGATTTTTTTTTGTGTATGTTGTATTTCGAATTTTTCAAAATGAGTATAAATTACTAAAATTGTTAAAAGTCTCACATAAACTTTTAGGATCAAGGTTTTAATTTGTTTTCTATATTAAAATATAACGATTATAAGACCATATGAAGAAATAATTTTAGTTTATATATATATTTCATATCGTTTTAATTAAACTATAAATCGTATGAAAATACATACTTATATTTTGATTGTCTTCAACATATACTGAAAAGTTAATATTTTAATTTTGAAATATGTCATTTTTAAAAAAAAATGATTATAAATTATTGAAACTACTAAACATCTAACATTAAAAAATAATCGTTGGTGTAAAGTTTTGTTACATAAATATGCAAATAATCATAAAATCATATGAGTAGAAACCTCATTTAATAAATATCAATATTAAAAGTGTGCTATATTACTATGTTTATATCATTTAAATTTAATTATATATCATATACAATATATAAGATTGATTATTTTGATTTATTTACCCTAATTGCGAATAAACAAGAGTGATAGTTAAATTTATATGCATACGTCAATTTATTACATAATAGTGACTGATTTCTTAGTTATGTAATATATATATTTATTATTTTATTATTTTATGATATGCAGAAAATTATAAAATAAATTATAAATATAAAATACTTATTGTGCATAAAGTGCAGATCTTAACCTAAGTATGTATCTTTTTAATTATTTTAAACTTAAGTATTTTCTAAATCTCAGGTCAAAACAGATAAACGAAATGAGAATAAACTTCAAAATCAATATTTATATTGAGTAATAACCAAAATATAAAAAAACACAACAAAAGAAAAAATTGAAGATAAATAGGATTAACACGTGAACGTAAACTTCTCATAACCATAATTAATTTTTAAATTGTTTAATCATGATATAAAACTGAATTAATTTTAATTTGTTAATTTTTAATTTTATAAAAATTTTTAATCATTATGGTTATGTTAAATCATGACCATAATTAATTTTAAATTTTTTATTTGTTTTTGACAAACTTAAAATATTGTTTTTAAAAATAATTTAAAATTTAACTTAATTTTTTATAAAATTATTTAAAAAATAATAATTTGTAAAAAATATAGTTTTCTAATATTATTATACAAATAAATAAATTATATTAAATTAGTTTTGAAACTTTATATATTTTAAATGCAATTATTTTACCAACTGCTTCTTAAAAAACATTAGGAAATTTGCTAATACTCTACCAATCAAGCCCAATGACACTCTGTTTATTTTCCATCACTCGAACACTAAAAAGTGAAAAGATATATGAAATCAGGTCCATTAAATTCTAAGATTTGATCTACAGTTCTAATTACAATTGTTTCTGATCCTACGTATAGATAATTATTTAAAAATTCCAAAATTCTAAAATTTCAAATACATATAAAACAATTATATGTAAATTTTAAATTTATCAATACTAAATTTTATATTTTAATTACGTATATTCACCATGCGCAAGGTGCATTTCTTATCCTAGTTACCAGTTATGTCTGAAGAAAATAACTAGAATTTCACTCCTATATCTGTGTGGGTGTTTGTTTAACTTAAATTAGAAATGAATCTGCACATTCGCGCGAATATATTTTTATTTTTAAATTAGTATTTAGAATATAAAATAGGCTATATAGATATAGGTTTTATATTATTTAGTTTTTTTGTATAAATATGTTTGAAAATTTTATATTTGGTAAAAACATTTTTTATTAAAAGTTTACTTTCATATATTAACCACTTGTTTTTTATTTCAAAATATAACAGCATATTAAATAGTTTGATTTGTAAACATTAACTTTTCTTTACTATTACTAATTTTATTATAATTTTATATTATTGGAATGTTGATATGTGACTAAAACAAATTAGTTAATACTATATTTGAAAATATTGTTTTATTTAATATATAATATTTCAGTTTTGTGTTTTATTATTACCATTCACAATTGTACATAAAATCATGCATAAAATCGTGCACAAAATAGATTTATTTTGTTATATATAAATATTTAATATTATAATTTAAAAATATTTGGACTAATTTATTCATTCCAAACTTAATTGCCCAAAAACACATAGAATATGTTAGAATTGAACAAAACTTAGGTTCATCCCTAGGGTGAACCTTTAAATTCAGCTCTCTTTCTGGAACCAATCAAAATGCCACATAGCTAGCTAATTAAAAATAGTAATTTAATGCCAAACATTTATTTTAAAATAACTAAAATAAGAATAACACCAATTTAACGATGATGGCGCCGATAGCTAAATTGTATACCCAATTTAGACCCTAAACCCAAATTGTATATCCTAATCCCAAAATGCATGCCCTAAACCCAAAATCTAGACCATAAACCCAAATCATAAATTCAAACCATATACCCTAAACTTAAATCTTAGACCCTAAACTCAAATCCAATATTGTCTAGGTTTAGAGTTTAGGTTTACGGTTTGGGATTTAAGTCTAGGATTTGGATTTATGATATACGGTTTGGGTCTAGACTTTAGGATTTGATTTAGAGTATAGAGTTTGTATTTAAGGTTTACGGTTTGGGTTTAGGGTATGCATTTTGGGTTTAGGGTATATAATTTGGGTTTAGGGTCTAGGATTTGGGTTAGGGTTTAGAGTCTAGGATTTGGGTTTAGGGTTTTGGGTTTGGATTTAGGGTTTAGAATTTAAAATTTAGGGTTTACGGTTTAGTTAGCGGCTTCAACATCATTAAAATTGGCGTTATTATTGTTTCTTAGTTATTTTAAAATAAATTTTATATTTTTAATTAATTATCTATGTGGCATTTTAATTGGTTATAAAAGGAAATATGAATTTAAAGATTTACTCTAGGAAGTGAACCTAAGTTTTGTTCGTTAGAATTTAGATAAAATGTTTTCTCAATCTTTTATTTAGATCTTAATCTTATTTACATTTATTCTAAATTTAATACATGAATATTTTAAGGTTAATTTGTCAAGTTGCTAATTAAATGGTCCAATTATTACTAATTTATAGTAGATTTTTTAGGAATATATTTGAATAGAGTATATATATATATTTGTTGTACATAGTAGTCAAGAGGTCAGTGACAAGAAAAAAAGTAGCCACGAGGTTTGATCCAGTAAAACCGAACCAATTAAAAATAAATTGAAATAGATAAACTAGTTAGGATTTGATAAAATACTGAATATAACAAATGAATATTATTACTTTTTTTTTATAAATCGCGGTATATAAACATGTTTTGGCATATAAACTAATAAAATCGAACAATCGATTAATTAAAATAGAGTAGTATAACTATATGTAGATTATATGTTATATGCATAATTTAGTTTATTGATATGTTTTTCATATTTAAAATGCGAATTTTACTAATTTAATATTTTTGTTATGTTAAAAGTTAGTTTTTTCTATTTTATCAAATAAATAAAACATTATTTTTAATTATTCGTAGAAAATATATGTGCTAATATTTATCTATTAATATTATGGTATTAATTATTTAATTATTTAATTTTAGGAAATTATTATTCTTAATAAATTAGTATATTTACTAATTATTTTAAATAGTAAAATAAAACAGAAAAATATTCTAATTGAAAACTGAAACATTTATGCTTTAATAAAGTTGAAATCTAATCATATAACTTAAAATAACAAAATGTTATAAAAATAAATATATTTATGGTTTTTAATATAAAATGAATTAACTGAAAACTAACGGTATATGAACCAAACCAAAACAAAGTAGATATTGTTTTAATATGATAGTTATTTTTTAAGAAACCAAATACCAAACACTGAACTAGCGGAAGTTGGAATGAACACCCCAATTGAATAGTGCTAGATTATCATTTGGTTATTATTTGTATTGAATGTTGTTTTGTTTTTTTTTTTATTATATACTATCTATTTCTTGTAAGTATAATGTTCTTTTCTGAATAAATCAAATCTATTGCATATATATACGCTAATTTATTGTTTTGATTATTATGATTTCAAGAGAGAAAAAAATGGAAACTACTTTTTGAATTAAGTTAAAATATTAATTATAGGAATAATTCAAGAATAATTATTACATAATGGATATTAATTTATAATATATACAATTAATTACGTTAAATCAACTGATTATCTCGTTTCATATTGAAAACTGATAACATTATTTTAAAAATAAATTGATTATTACATAACCCATTATAAAATAATTCTTTTTAGAACTATAACATATGCCTCCGACATCTTTCGATTGAACTGATTTTGGTATTGTTTATGTTAATATGGGTTATATTACAATTTCATTAACTGCAACACGATAATCATGTATGTAAACTGAAGTCATTTTATGATTATTTTAAATGATAAAATAACAGTGCTAACTAGAATTTGATATGTGCACTTGCGTGGATGTATTTTTTGAAAAAATATGATGTTTGTTTGTTTGTTTTTTTTTATAACAGTGCTGATGTTTGTTTTTCATGTCACTATTATCCAATAGAATAAGATTAAATCATTTTTATAATGCTGTTTATTTTTTCATGTTACTATTATCCAATAGAATAAGATAAAAGTTGAAGTTTTTAACACTAGATTCCAATAGAATAATGAATCATTTGCTCCAAGGATCATTGCTTAGAACTAAAATCTTAAATTTTGGTCTAAGCCAAAAAAACTTTATTGTTCAGAAACTTTATCTGTTTTTTCATTGTGCCATCAACTCAGACACAAGCTCCGTGTCATCGAACTTCTTCACATACCTTTTTCAAAAGAAAAAAAATCATCAGTAATTCAGTATCTACAAAAACAGAACCTATAGGAGGAATTCACTTCCTTTTGACATGAGGGCGTTGATCACATTTACATCTTAGGAATGTTCGATCACATTGCATCTTAGGAATGTTCGCTTCTCTAAACACTGTAATATTTGAAACTACCGGCCGATTTGTCTTCTTTACCAAAAACTTAATCTTTCTCATATGGGTTTACAATCTGTTTCTTTTTGAAAACTATCATATAACCACTAAGTCTACATGAAGTTAAGGTCTCACTATACATACATATATATATATATATATATATATATAACAAGTGAATGTTAATATCACTTTTTCCATGTATTCAAAGTTCGGAACCGTATTTTATCCCCAAACAAGAAGTTCGAAATCTGTTCACATCCATACCATAATTAAGTTTGGTTCACTGTGTACCAGTACATGTCTAACCATTAAACACCAATCAATAGCCAAAATTCGAAAACTAAAAGGTCAAAATCGAGAAGAACCGGATTACTTTATCCCTAATGCTTTTGTCATATCTCTACACATGAATAATTGTTTTGACAAGTTCATTAAAGCCTTGGGAAGCTTGAGTGTGACAAGTTCATTGCCTAGTTGGATGCGTGACCACATTCTTCGATTTGAGAGAGAGAAGTACTGAGATATACAATATATGTGAGAAAACGACCACACTACAAGAAAACAGTCAAATTTCGAGGATCATTTTCCTTGGAATTTCGTCAGAATACATGTTTGGAATCGTAACATAATATGTTGTCCTTTCGCCTTTATCATCATGATGAACAAGTCTTCTGTTTTTTTTTCTACACTTCTACTAGAAAGTATTACTCAGCAAAGTTTGAAGTTTCTTCATTGATTATCTGTGCGACTATAAAACCTTCGATCCTATCTAAATTTTTTACCTTCTTCTTCAGATGATACATATACCGCTCGTAAAGATACATTCATGTATATTACACAGGATCACCAACTTCCAGTTCTCTTGCCAAGTGAATAGCAAGATGCTCCATAACATCAAAAATGATGGGGAGAAATATCTTCTCTAGGTTGCACTGGAGCACAGCTATGTTATTCTTCAAATTTTGGATACCTTTTGGAGTCACTGATCTCGAGCATAAACGCGGAAGAAAGCACTTATCCCTGCAATTGCTTCATAAACCTTTCGTGGTAATAGCTCCGAGAAGGCAAACGGAAGGAGGCGCTGCATCATTACATGGCAATCGTGACTCTTCAAGCCGATAAACTTTGCTTCGTTTCTGTCTACACAGTTACCCAAATTGGATGCGTAACCGTCTGGAAATTTCACATTGTTTGTAATCCAATCAAAGAATGCATCTTTTCCTGCTGCATCCAGTCGGTATATGGGAGCTGGAGCCCTACCATTCTCATCAACATGAAGTTCGGAACGATCACATATATCGACTAAATCTAGTCTTGACTTCAAATTATCTTTCATTTTATCTTGGATGTTAAGGATCGTGTTCATAAGATTGTCAAAAAAGTTCTTCTCAATATGCATGACATCTAAATTATGCCGCATCAGATGATCCTTCCAATATGAAAGATCCCAGAAGATACTCTTTTTGTGCCAATTATGTAGTTCTCCAACAACATCTACTGTATAATGAACATGTCCACCAACGTCTAGCGTTCTTTCTGCATCAAAATCTCTTAATCTACCCCACAAATTTTCGGGGGTGGACTGTCAAACACCTTCTTGTTCTTCGTAAACAAAGTCCTACTCCTACGATATGGATGATCAGGTGGTAGAAATCTCCTGTGACAGTCAAACCAACACGTTTTCCTTCCGTGGTTTAGTTGGAAAACATCTGTGTTATCTTGACAATGTGGACATGATAGCCTTCCATGCGTTGTCCATCCAGATAACATACCATATGCTATAAAATCACTTATTATCTACATAAGTACTGCCCGCATTTGAAAGTCTTCTTTGCACGAAACATCGTATGTATCTGCACCTTGAGCCCATAGTTTTTGTAACTCATATATTAGTGGCTAAAGAAACACATCAAGTGATCTCTTAAGATGCTCTGGCCCAGGAACGAGAATGGAGAGAAACAAAAACTCTCGACGCAAACACAAATTTGGCGGTAAGTTGTATGGTGTAAGAATGACTGGCCATAGAGATTACTGTCTTCCATGCTTGCCAAATGGGCTAAAACCATCGGTACATAATCCAAGGTAGACATTTCTTCTCTCAGACGCAAATTCTGGATATATTGATTGGAAATGCTTCCATGCTTTTGCATCTGAAGGATGTCTAATCTCACCATTCTGTCGAATGCTCCGCATGCCATCTCCTTGGTTGGACTGTGCGTTTAGATTGATACAACCTCTTCAACCTTTCTGTCAAAGGCAAATACTACATCCTTTTATATGGCACTGGAACTTTTCCACTCGTTTTTCATTAAAACAAAAACCCAAAAAGATAAATTAGAAAGCCTGATTAGCTTATTCCAGTCCATTTACATCATTCACATCCACCATATAAGAGCTCCTAAAATTACATTCTCTATTTTCTATTTCATCTGAGTATCAAACACTTCACTTTCCACCTGAAATTGTTCAGACTCTAAAAGACTCGTATTCACAATGTAGAAATTTTTTTTTTGAAAAGAACATTAACCAACACTTGGCTATAAAGAAAGCTTGAGTCTGCCGGTTAAACATAGTTTAATATGTTAGAAAGCAAAACAGCCCAACGTACCTATACATAAATGAATGTCTCTGTAGTGCAACCTAAAGAAATTTTCAGTAATCCTAGCTTGGAAGACCCATTTTCCTTTATCAATCTAGCCAAAGTTCAAATGGATAATCTCTCTTTATACAATAAAACCACATACAATTGAGTGATTTCACATTTACAAATTAAATGCTACTTGATTACAATCCAATCCTAGGAGTTCCGTGTTACAAAACTTTCAATGTTGGTTTCGACCGGAGCTAGTTTCACTACAAGAAAACAAAGCATTTACTAGGAAATTTTACTAGGAAAATTCTTCCTCGTAAATTTACTAAGCCTTTACTAGGATCTTACGAGGAAAGCAAATTTCCTCGTAAGCTCCTCGAAAACTTACGAGGAAACACTTTCCTCGTAAGACCTTAGTAAATTTACGAGGAGCTTACGAGGAAAAAGTACTTTTCCT